CAAACTCTCATGACAATCGTAAACTGTCAGTTGCACTCTGAAAATCAGAGACAAGGTCTCACTGTATTGTCCAGGCTGGCATTAAACTCATACCTTCCTGGTTCAGCCTCCCAAGTAGCTGGACTATGGTGGATCCCTCACAGTTGGCCTACAAAAATAATTTTTAACTGGCATCCCTATTCAATTAAATCCATTAAAAAGCAGAGTGCCTACTATAAATGCCTGTTCCAATGTTAGATAGTGGGCATAAAGAGATGAATTTCTGTCCTTTACATAAATCTTCAATTTCTGATCTATCATCCTACTGTTGCTTCACAGCTGTTTATTTTTGGACAGTGTGATTTGTGCTCATTAAAAATCCACTAGCTATACAACTACAGAGCTGAGAGGGACTCTGAAGGGCTTCTCACCCAACTCCTCATTTTAGAATAGGAAAGCAGAGGCCCAGGAAAGCGCAGGAGTCTGCCTGAGGCCACACAAGCTCTAAGTGGTAGCTCTACCTGGAACCTGAATCCAACCTGTCAGAACAATCTCAGGTACAGCGGAACACGGCTGTGCACTGTGAGGCATTTGCAGCTGTCTCCTTTTAAGGTAAACTGTTTTGAACACATGATACACTTCCAGGAGCCAGGATTCCTGCTGTGAAGTGGCAGGTGCACTGCAGATACAAACAGTTCATTAAAATGTATGTTGAAGGAAGCTTCAGTATATGAAGTTGTTTTCTTTGGATACGTCTACAACTTAAAGTCATGTCGATTTTGTTGTTGTTTAAAAAAAAGGCTGGGAGTGTAGCTCAGTGATAGAGCACTTACCTAATGTATGTAAGGCCCTGGGTTTTATTCCCAGCACCACAAAAAGCAAAGTTAAAATCATTTTGTTATGTACTCTACCAGTTTAAAAAAGTTGTCACAAGAGATCAAATCCTTAGTAAAACTATCACCAGAGACTGCAGCTAACAGAAAAAAAAAAAATCTTATATAAGACCAGAAAAACTTTGTGTGCCAGACTTGATGCTATTGTTATAATTTTACATGTTCTACATGTTATAATTTTAAATGTTCTCCTTTTACCATTCTTAATTTCCATCAGTTCTTCGAATATGCATAATATTCCCACCCCAGCATCGTGACTTAAGTTGTAATTTTTACTGAGGTGAGAACAGCATCTTCTACTTCCTCTCAGGGGCACTGTTCCTGGCACAGCATATGCACCCCTAGGAGGGGTTCAGGAAGTCTGGGAGACAATCATGAGCCAGACCCTCCCCCTGACATGTTGCCGCCTGCTGGGGAGAAAGGGCGAGGTCTGCATTCTCACAAGTGTTCCTTGGGTGCAGTTGTCAGGCTACTGGCTGAGGGCCCTGGTAGACTGTCCTGCTGGTGATTATGGAAATGACTGGCAGTGAGTAACCCCTGCCTACAGCACCATCTTTCCCCTGGGTGAAACCTGGCTTCCCTGGAGCTGGATGGAGGAGACAGTTCACCTTGGATGCCACAGCAGTCTGCCTGCTGCCCATCTCCTGAACTTGGTCCTGCAACCCTAGGGAGCTACCAAAGCAGTGTGCGGCTCAGGAAACTGGCACAGTGCCAGGGCTGAGGCTGGCTCACAACAGCTGTTTAATCCTTTGGTTCTTTTATTTATTTATTTTGCGGTGTTGGCGTTTGAACTCGGGGCCTACAACTTGAGCCACTCCACCAGTTCGGTTTTTGTTTTGGTGACAGTTTTTTTTGAGATAGGATCTTGTGAACTATTTGCCAGGGCTGGCTTCAAAACATGATCCTCCTTATCTTTGCCTCCTGAGTAGCTAGGATTATAGGCGTGAGCCACTGATGCCCAGCTGGCTCTTCTTTTGATGGGTTCTAAGACACCTACCTGCCAAATGCTCAAATTTGTTTTTCTAACTATTTGAATTTACTTAGTTTCCTTAAAATGACATGAAAATTCAAGTTTTTTTTCTCAAGCAGTAGTCATCTGACAAGGTATGTGGGAATTTTTTCAATTGCAATACTCAATCCTTTTTATTATGAAGTAGAATATATTTTTCAAATGTCAAGATGGCAGGAAAAGACCAAATGTGTTATTAGAAAGGAATAAAGCACATCAAGATGACAGCATAGAAGCATTATCTTCTATTTCAGTGTTAAGTTGCAAATTTAATTTTAAAAATAAGTTTTGTTCCTAATTAAGGGTTTCCTGACACTTTTCCCCCTAGGCTTAAGCATTTAACTCAGGTCTGTAGCAGAATGCCATTCAAGAGGGGAAAAAATATCAAAGGTGACTTTCCTGTCATTTTGCTAACAGGACACTGGAGTATGACATGGATGTCTGAGCTAATCAATTGACTCAAGTTCCAGGATTGCAGTGGAGGCTAAAATAGGCGTAAAGCTGACAAAGGCTCTCCATGCATGGCTTTTCTTTCTTTCTTTTTTGTTAAACTTAAGTATTTTAAAAAAACTTTTTATTGAGGGAAGTTAAAACACATATCAAGGTAGACTCTTGAGCCAGGTGTGGTAGTGCATGCTTGTAATCCCAGTGCTTGGGAGATGGAGGCAGGAGGATCTCAAATTTGAGACCAGCCTGGGCTACATAGTGAGACTGTGTCACAGAACAAAAACCACAAACTAAAGCTTGAGGCTAGGTTAAAGGTATCACTGAAAACTACATATGCAGAACGGTCCAGATTTCACCCTTTTTGCCTTTAGGGTTACTCTGCGGTGCTTTTGGAAAGCACTGTGTGTAGGTCTTTGGAATTCCTTCCTGAGGCTGCTGTGTTATGTCTGTATACAACTTTCCTCCATTGCCTCCTTGCCACTCCTGGGTCGCTCTGTGACCCCCTTCCCATCCAGCACATTCCACCCACACAATCACCTACCAGCGCTCCATGTCACAGGGAGGCCAGGGTGACCACTGCCTGGACATGCTCTGGCTCCACCTACAGGCCACTTTCAGTACAGAACCTGGTGTTTCCAAAGTTCAGGAAATTCAGGTCTTAGTGAGTTTTGGGCTAGCAAATCCAATTCTAATTCTCACTCAGCTCTGCACAAGATGTGGTGTGGGCGCTGGTCCATTATGGGGTTATAGGCAGAACTAACTTACCCCAATGATCTTGACTGAAGGAAACCTTAGTGATGGGGAAGAGCAACTGCTCAGCCTTTTGTTAAGACACTTCTGCTTCTATCCTGTCCTCACTTTCTCCCTTTCTGGACAAGCTCAGACTCTCAGAGCCCAAGTCCAGCACTTGCTAGCTGTGACACTTTTGACCTGTCACCATCTCTCACTTGGCCTGTTTCTTATTCTGTGAGATCAGCACCTCACGGGGTTCGAAGGACAACAAAATGCAGTAAGCTATGTGGTTGGTGCCTGGGCCCCTCCCACAGTGAACAGGATACGTCAAGCTAGGGCTGAGGGTTTGTTCTTCACATCATTAGTGATTTCCCAGGCATCAGCATATTCTGGGAACTCCTTAGAAATACAAGTGGCTATGCTCCTTCCAAAACCAATGGACTCAGACACGTCCATTGTGTCAACACCCTGCAGGTGATACTGGTTCACATCCCAGACTGAGAGGAGCTGGTGCAGATTAGTAATTTCTAAGCTGGGGTCCTCCCATACCACGACCGTACCAAGTCATGCTCCAGAGGCTCAACAGAACAGTATGAGTGAGAAAGAGACTCCTGTGTCAGAACTGAGTCTCGAAACCTGGTGCTGCACAATGCTTTCATGCAGGCTGCCCACTGTGCCCAACAACCCCATGGCTGTGAGACATAAAGCAAGTCTATCCCATCTTGCAAAGCAAACTGAGGTTCAGACAGATCCCACAATGAGTGGCAAGCATCTGTTGGGCACCTTCATACAGGCCAGACTCCATGCTCACTGTTGGAGACAGATCACAGACAGGTAGGTCTCTGGCCTCAAAGGCAAAGGAGGACCTTCACTTCTGTTCCACAGCTGGACGCCCACCAACCTGCAAATGCCCAGTTCCAAACTGCACTTTCTCCTGCTGCATGCAGGTTGCTTTTCAACCTTTTCTGAGTTTGTAGGGGTCTCGGTAATTGCCTTAACTGGAGATCAACATTATGCACTATTCATTTGATATTAGCCAAACTAGAAGAAAAAAAATTTTTTTTTTTCAGTACCAGGGATTAAACTCGGGGCCTTGAGCTTGCTAGCTAGATGCTCTACCACTTGAGCCATTCTGCCAGCCCTTTTTATGTTCATCATTTTTGAGATAGGATCTTTCCTTATGCCTAGGCTGGCTTGGACCCTAATCCAATCCTATTTATGCTTCCCTGCATAGCTGGGATGACAGGCATGCACCACCGTGCTCACCCATGGTTGAGATGGGATTTCACGAACTATTTGCCCAGGCTGGCCTCTAACTATAACCCTCCAGATCTCTGCCTCCCAAGTAGCTAGGATTATAGGCTTTAGCCACTGTGTCTGGTGACTTTATTTGAAACAAGGTCTCACTATGTTGCTCAGGCTGGCCTTGAACTCATGATCCTCCTGCCTCAACCTCCTGAGTACTGTAATTACAGGTGTCTGCCACAACTGGTCCTCAACTAACGTTTAAACACTGCTACTTCACAGTTCAGTTGTGATTATTAAAAAAATTTATAGAGCTTATAATTTTGCCTACCGTGTGCTCTAATGCTATTTTATTTCTAAAGCATTTCACAATTTAAATGTTTTCCCCTCTCTTCTCCTACTGACCCTCATAATAATTCTAGGTTGGTACTTACATAGTTAACATTTCCTTTTCCCAAGTGTGAAAACAGAGGATCAGAAGTCAGGAGATAGGCAGCAGAACCATTTGTTTAGAAAATATAAATTGAGTATCAGAAATGGACTGAGCGCCTAGATCCTGACCACTAACCCCTATGTCAATGGAGGTGTTTACTCCTCGGTCCTCAGGTTCCTAGGTGAAGCTATGGCTGTGCCTGCTGCATCACAAAGTCCCCACCCAGGAAGAGCATACTGAAAGCAGTACCCACAGGCAGTGGTGTATCTCACAGACAGAGTTTATTCATACCACATAGTAAATGGTACTCCTACTGGTGTACAGCAATGTCCCGTGTTCCCATCTAACAAAGCTTGCTGAAATTTACAGACAGATTGATGTTTCATCTCGTGTGTACTCAAGGGAGCTGGTTAATGATGACCATGAGCAGGTGCAGGACTGGAACCTTTTAAAGAAGTATAATGTAGATACAATTTAGGAAGGAAGAGGCAGAATGTAATTTACTATATAAGTATCAACAAGTCAGAGGGCATACGCAACAATTTTCAGTGCTACATGCAGGATTATTTTTATATGCAGCACTCAGTGTAGTTTGTGCAAATGATGCTGTCATCATCTACAGAGGTGAACCAAAGCTCATGGAGCCAGTCCTGAGTTTGTGGAGTGTCAAATGACTAGTTTCATTGTCATTGGGGAAGTAAAGTGAAGAAATACCCAGCACTAGGGTGATTTTTTTCAAAATTTATAAGGTGATTTCTTTCAAGGCATATTAAAAATATCAGGACCTTCATAGGGTAGCATTCAACTAAACTGATACCATCAGCTACCTCTGATTTCTCCTTTATCTATTATTCTTGTAAGTTTTGCTTTATTCAACAGGTTGAGTTTTTATTTTTTATTTTTTTAGATTGTCCTCACTATAAAAAGCAGCAATTCAGACTTCTCTTTGCTAGTAGGCATACTAAACTTTATGTTCTGAAGTATTTCTACTCTAGCTCTAACACTCTGTATCCTGTATCAATTTCAATTCAGAACAATGATACAACTTGTCTTGAAAAGATCAGATGGTGTTTTTCATTCCCCAAGGATTTTAAGAAGCAAAATTCTTACCTTTTAAAGCTTTACTTCTTTTATCTAAAATAAAAGGAAGGAAAAAAAAATGGTCATATCAATGTCTTACAAAAATGTGTTTAGTTAATTCATTGTCAAAATTGACATTTGGCTGAAGGCTTCATAGCTTAGGTAGAGCAGTATAGGAAGCTTTCAGAAAACAGGAGAAGTGCTATCAAACATGTTCCCTGAACAGCAAAGAGCAGGGCTCCTTGCTCTCTCCCATATCCTTAATTGTAGTCTTGCTGTTTTCCTTTCCTCTTTTTTTTTTTTTTTTGCAGTACTGGGGTTTGAACTCAGGGTCTACACTTTGAGCCACTACACTAGTCCTTTTTTTGTGTGTGTGACAGTTTTTTTCTTCAAGATAGGGTCTTGTGAACTATTTGCCTCCTGAGTAGCTAGGATTACTAGCTATGAGCCACCAGCGCCTCGCCCTTCTCTTCCCCTTTTTAATCAAGAGCTTAGCAATACACCACTGGGCTTTATCTCTGCTCCACTGAGAACCAAATGCTTATTCCTCCCCTTCAAATTTCATTACGGAGAAATGTCAAACACTCAGAATAGTTGAAACAGTACAATAAAGCAAAGCACACCATAACATCATACCTCTAAATATTTCAGCCTGTCTCTCTTGAGCTGAACACTTCCTACGTATTCCTGTACCACTGTCATACTTAGGACAACAATTCCCTGATTATCAAGGTCTTGTTCAGTTCACCTCACTGTCCCCACAGCCTTTCATAGGCTGGCCCCCAAAGCCTGCATTCTCATAATGGATCATGGTGGTTCTGATGTTCACACCCAGTTAAAAGTCACAGTTCCTTGACAGATGAACTGTGATTCTTTCTGAAGACAATTTTATTCCTAACTTAAATAAATCACACATAAAGAAACTTACCAGCGCTCCTGATCTTATAAACGATGAAACTCATCAACCCCATTCCTGCCCAGATCTCTTGGTAAACCTGGGTATAGTAGGGCTTCATGGGGATCCAGACACTTCTAATAATGCTTTGAAGCATCTGAAAATAACAGTGATAAACATTAAGTGCTTACTGTACTAAATCTAACAGGTGAGAGATTTCTATTTGTTCTTTAAGCTTGACCCTATTTCCCATGACAGCCCCACAGGTTGTTTCTCTTGTGTCAGACAATTCTATTCCCTACATGGCACAGGTGCTGCTCTCTGAAGTTCTTCAAGCTCCCCCTTCCCAAGTTGATCTTCCACCAAAACTGTGCCCTGAGTCACACATCACTTTTGGCTTCTTTACGTGGAAACACTGGTTTCATCATCATGCTGAGAACAGTTGGCATCTGAAGCTGAAAGAGCAGGGTCAGGGTGTGGTGATTTCCTCGTGAAACTAACACCTGTGCCTGGGCACACTGACTAACTGTAGCTCAGTCCTGAGGCCCACTGCTACATACAGACAGATGGCATAGGACAAAGGCCCAGATATGATAGCACTCACTAGACTCAGTTAAGAAAGCCATTAAGTTCGGAATTTGTGGGTTGCTTTTAGGTACAAGTCTCAAAGTAATGCTTCCAATTATTTTACAGTTTACTTTAGTATTGACTCCCAAATAAAAGTCCTCATTTTCAACTTGAGATGTTTGTATTAAGTGACAGTCATTCCAACAGATGTCAGGGATGACTAGTTCCAAGTACTTCTCATTTCACTTGGAAACTCCACTTTGGCTGCACTCGGTATCTTACTTTCCCAGGCCCAGCTCCTCTCACATTGCTTCTCTTCAGTGTTCTTCAGTTTTCCACACTTCCGGGCTTCGTGTCAGTTTTACAGCACTGGATCATGCGAAGGCCCAATTAAGTCCAAGGCCAATGGCTGCCCTTAAATTACTGAACCTGAATTGTATGGTCATTTATTCACTCAGCAAATGTGAACCAAGCATGTGCTAGGAGCCAGAACTGTTTTAGGCGACAATACACAAGGGTCAAACTACCTGTGAGAAGTAAGGTCAGCAGAGGCACTGATGTGCCAAGACCCCAAGGTCAGAATGAGTTTGGAGAGCTGGAAGGAGTGGGAAGGTCAGCATGACTGCCCAGAATCAAATCCTAGCTATTTCAATTACTACCTAACTTGCACTGGCTTAGTTTCCTCATCTGTAAGACAGTACTTAACTCGAGGGGCTGTTGGGAACCTTATGTTACTCTGTCAAATGTTTATACCATCTGGCATTATGTATCAAGTGCTTGTTACATAAAATGCCATGGATAAACCACAGAAGGGTAGATGGGCAGGGTCATTTAGGGCCTTGGAGGTCTAGGTAGAGTTCAGCTTTCACTCCAAAAATGTTCCACAAATTTAACAGCATTTACTAATCCTGGACATACATATTTCCTGCACTATTCCCCACCTCTATAAAGTCAGTACTTGGAAAAAGCTACCCAGGATCCCACGGTGGGTAGATAGCACTGGAGTGCACCAAGTCAGGTCTATATACTTGATTCCTACACAGATTTACTTCCATACCTGGCTTCCTGCTCGTCCCATGGGAATTTACTTAGGCTGAAGAATGGTCATGAAGGCTTGAGTATGACCTTGTAGGATGGGTCTGCGATCTCCTGGAACCTCTTGCAGCCATCTCTGTCCTCAAATTATATCCAAGCATTCTGATAGGCTCATGCCTATAATCCTAGCTACTCAGGAGGACTGAAATTCGAGGCCAGTCTGGGCAAATAGTTTGTGAGACCCCATCTCGAAAATACAGAACACAAAAAAGGGCTGGAAGCATGGCTCAAGTGGTACAGCACATGCCTAGCAAGTGTGAGGCCCTGAGTTCAAACCGCAGTACTGCCAAAAAGAAAACAAAGAAACCAACAGACTTCTTTCAATAGGATCCAGAGGTGGACTCTGGAAGCCCTAGACTAAAGAATTCTGAGGCGTGCAGTGAATTCCTCTCTTCTGGGACCAGCAGGGACTGGAAAGGTGTTATAGAACACCAACAGGTTGGAAGCCTAGGAATCCTGAGTCCCAACACCAGCTATGCTTGCTCTGCTTTCAACCTTGGGAGTCCCTGAAGCTGCTGCATCACAGGGCCTTCTGCTGTTAAACAGGACCTTCCACCTGCCCCACAGGGCTACTGATGGAACCATAAGGGAACATAAAGAATCACAGCAATAACAGAATCTCTAAGAATACTCAGCTGACAGCAATACTCCTGAGCCACTGGGATTCTGAGAGGGCCAGGTGGAGGTCAGGAGGGTACAAAGGTACTTCAATTATCTTGATAATTTGCTTACAACCTAGGCACCCTGACATTGTCTCGTCACCCAAAATTACCTTTTATCTTGCTTCCCCCTTCCTTTTGGCCAACTCTGTTGCATCGGCTGGACAAGTAATATCTTCCCAATATTCAATAAAGTGAAGGTCCCTACTTTTTCCACCCAAGTCTTTCTGCCAGCCACATTACCCAGCTCTGTGTTAGTTTTACAGCCCTGGATCTTTTAAAAGCTCATCCTATTCAAAGGTCAAATGGACATCTACTGTATCTGCCTAAGCCTGGAAAGTTTTTGACATTACATTAACAGCAAACTCTAGATCTCACATTGGAAATGGGAAATATCTGGCCACTGAGTCCCAGTCTGGGATTTGCACTCTGGGTTCATACAGTTTTGACCATCCCACTACCAAGGCCTTGTCATATGCACGGTATAACACTTGAAGGAAACTTGAGGCATAGAGAAAGCACTAACTTTGGGGTGACAATTTTGGTTTGGATACTAGCTGTATCACTAGCTGTGTAACCTTGGATAGATCAGACAGTTCTTAGGTGATGTAAGCTCCTTGCCAAAAGCGTACGGTATACAGGTGCATCAGTGTATCAGCGCCAGGGAAAAGGGCTTAATACTGGCCCAGGTGATTCTCCAAGAGCACCTAAATCCAGGGAATCCCACCCCCCTCACAGCAGGAGGGGCGCACACGCCTAATTTTGGGTACTCCCTCGCACTCTGGGGGTCGATCCTCCGTCACCTCCCTTGCAGCCTCGGGGGACTGATATTTGGGCCCCTCCCTCGCAGGCCGGGACGACTGCGGGTGAAGGTGGAGGGGCTGACCAAGGTCAGCGGGGGCCGCAGAGGCCCTGGCCCGGCCTCCAAACCCGATTTCTGGGCACCACCGCACCCCATCCCACTCTTCTTCAGGCCCGTCTGCAGCTGGCTGAGCAGTCGGCCAGGATCCCACGCTCACCTTTGCAGGAGCAAGGGCTCAGGCCCCAGCGGACCCCGCAGCCAAATAGGAAAGGTCACCGAGCGCGCAGGCGTCGCGCGAGGCCTGCCGGGAAGGCGGAAGGAGCTGCGGCGTGCCTCCCAGGCCGCGCCTGCGCACCACAGCGCCCCTGGCGGCCGCCCTGGGCTGCAGGTAAGAAAGCGAGGGTGAGTGGTAAGCCCGGAAGGGGTGGGAGGAGGAGCTTTGGGATGAGTGTGGGTGGGAGTCCCATACTGTCCAGACTGTCCCAGGACTGAAGGGCTTTCCAGGATGTGGGGCTTTTAATGCAGAAACCAGGAGCGTTCTAGATAATCCGAAACGGGTTGGTCACTGTGAAAAAAAGGACAAGTCGTCTCCCATCTCAAAATGTCAGACGCATAAACGCGAGAGTCAAATACAGATTACACAGCAAGAAAGCCTTCCTTCCTCCCTCCTTCCTTCCCTCCTTCTTGCTGAGAATGAACCAAGGGGCTTGCAAATGGTATGAGCTGTACCACTGAGCTACATCCACAGCTTCATGTGTAATTAGAGTTTTCTGTGAGTTATTTTTCAAATGGGGTCTCGTTCTTATTCCCTGGGCCAGCCTGGACTTCAGTACTGCTATTTATGCTTCCTAAGTTGCTGGTGGGCTACTCAGGTGGAAAGCCCTCAGATTTTTATTGGTTGAGATGGGGTCTTACTGTTTGCCCAAGCTGGCCTGGAACTATGGTCCTCCCGATCTCCTCCTCTCGAGTAGCTAGGATTACAGTCATGTGCAACTGTACCTGGCCTTTTTTTTTTAAACTAGTATTCTCTCATGGATATAGTGGAGTTTCCCAGAGGTTTTGTGACTAATGATGTCATAATGAGGCAGGATAGAGGAGGGAAAAAGAAGTGATAACAAGAGCTAGGAATTCAAAGATAAACATTGTATTAGTGAATAGCTTATTAACAGGCACTGCTTTCTTTGCTTTAAGCTTTATATACTCTCCTTAGTATATAGTTAAAAAAAAAAAGCAGCTCTCTCAATCTGACTTTGCCTTATGATTACTTTGCTCTGGGAACTCAGCAAGAACATCTTAGAGACAGACGTGTGTACTGGGAATAAAATATCTGTTAAAATGACTCATTTCGTAAGAGGCACTTGAACTGCTTTTGCTGAAAAGTACTGAATCCTTACCTGGGCCCACAAATTAACTAAAAATAGGAGAAGAGCTTGGCATCCCTGCCTCCATTTTGTATCTATTGTCCTTTGCTCTGAGCCATTCTCTCCTGCAGCCAACTTGGAATCAAGGAAGGACAAGATTGATCAATAACATCTTTATGACAAGGGACCAGAAATACCCCTAAGGAAGAGCAGAGTCTCCTAGGACTGACTCCCCCCCTCCCAACCCCACTGAAATGAGGACAATTATACATAATGATGAGGTTGCACCTGAAGTAGGAGTAATCCTCTCATCCCTTCAAGTGATGATAGTGGCAACAACTTCACCCTAACCCAACAACAAGGACTGAGATAGTAGTCAACCAGCCCCTCCCCTCCACCAATCCTGAGACAATGAGCAACTTGATCACCTGCCTGCTGCCACCTCTGAAACCTGTGACTAGGACTGTTTAACTATGCATACCTTCACCCTCCCATAAATCTTTGTCTATTTAAAGCTAAAGCTCATATCTGTACCCCAAAAATAGCTGAAGCTGGGCTGAAGTGCTTACTTTGCCTCTTCCCATCACATGCCCAAAGCTGTGTAATAAATTTCTTTTCTCTGCCCTTCACCATGTCTCTTTATTTGGCATATAAGAGTGAGTGGCTGGACCTGACATGGAAGCATAGGAGTTTGGGCTTGGGTGCCAAAAGTTTGTTTTCACTTTGATCACAGAAGTGTTTGCAAAGGAAAAATATTTATCTTAAGGAAGATAAATATCCTGCCTTTAAAGGAGCACCTTTTGTTTAAAAGGATGCTTGGGGAAAACAGACATCTATGACCCAAATTTAGTAAACTGACCAGACTTGGTATGTCTGGATCCAATTGATAATGTCAAAACACTGTAGCAGCAAGAATGATTGAATTTACCAGGTGTCCACAGCACAGGAGAGCACTTATTTTAAGCCAACTCCTAGCTCACTTTTCACCATAAATACCCATGACATTAGAGCATGCACTCAGACGTTAGAGCACCTCGTCTCAGGTTTGTCTCACCCATATAGGTGTGTACTGTCTTTTTGTTGCTTTGTTTTACTAATAAATTTCTTGGTCTCTATGTTGGTGTGTCCTAAAATTCTTTCTTGGGATAATGCCATGAACCCAGTACCCAAGGGCCAAGTAGAAGTTTCTTCCTTTTTGGAGACCTCTCTAGAGCCTCATAGGTTCCAATAACAATAACAGAACGTATAAAGAAACTGCTTTGAGAAGCAGCTGTTTTCCATTAGTCAAACACTAAGAGATAGTTGAAAATGTAAACATATCCCTTTTATAAACCTTTTTTTTTTTGGAAAATATATCTTTCTTAAGATATATTCTTGTAACAGGTGCTTAAAAGCTTCTTTTGCTGAGGAACACTGATTCCTTACTTGGGCCCGTGAATTTGCTGAACACAGGATAAAAGCTAGGCCTCCTAGCCTCAATTTTGGATTTGTATACTTTGCTCTGAGCCATTTTCTTCTGCAGTCACTTTGCAATCATCTTGGAATCCAGGAAACACAAGGCAGGAGACAAAGACAACCTACCAGGTGTCAATGACTTAAAAAAAATTGGCTGTACTGGTGTTTAAACTCAGGGTCTTTCACTTGGCAGGCAGGGGCTCTACCACTTGAGCCATGTCTCAGCCCTTTTTGCTTTAGTTCTTTTTGGAATAGGTTTCACAGTTATGCCCAGGCTAGGATGACAGGCATGCACCACCATGCCCAGCTTAAGGATTTTTTGCACAGGATGGCCACCAAGCCCATCTTCCTGATCTCCACCTTCTTGAGTAGCTAGGATTACAGTCATGAGCCATTGTGCCAGGACTATCAACGAATTGTACTGCAACAAGGCCCTGCCTGACCAATCCTGAGGCTGGTGTCAGCCACCGATGACCACTGGAACACACCTGTGACTGAGACTGTTAATAATTCTTCATCCTATTTAAACCTAAAGCAAATGCCTGTTTGAGAAGATAGGTTAGCACTCTTGGGGATGTACCCAAAAGACTGTGATACAGGTTACTCCAGAGGCACCTGCACACCCATGTTTATTGCGGCACTATTCACAATAGCCAAGTTGTGAAAACAGCCAAGATGCCCCACCACTGACAAATGGATTAAGAAAATGTGGTATCTATACACAATGGAATTTTATGCAGCCATGAAGAAGAATGAAATGTTATCATTCGCTGGTAAATGGATGGAATTGGAGAACATCATTCTGAGTGAGGTTAGCCTGGCCCAAAAGACCAAAAATCGTATGTTCTCCCTCATATGCGGACATTAAATCAAGGGCACACACAACAATGGGATTGGACTTTGAGCACATGATAAAAGCGAGAGCACACAAGGGAGGGGTGAGGATAGGTAAGACGCCTAAAAAATTAGCTAGCATTTGTTGCCCTTACCGCAGAGAAACTAAAGCAGATACCTTAAAAGCAACTGAGGCCAATAGGAAAAGGGGACCAGGAACTAGAGAAAAGGTTAGATCAAAAAGAATTAACCTAGAAGGCAACACCCACGCACAGGCAATCAATGTGAGTCAACTCCCTGTATAGCTATCCTTATCTCAACCAGCAAAAACCCTTGTTCCTTCCTATTATTGCTTATACTCTCTCTACAACAAAATTAGAGATAAGGGCAAAATAGTTTCTGCTGGGTATTGAGGGGGTGGGGGGGGAGAGGGAGGGGGCGGAGTGGGTGGTAAGGGAGGGGGTGGGGGCAGGGGGGAGAAATGACCCAAGCCTTGTATGCACATATGAATAATAAAACAATAAAAGGAAAAGAGAAGATAGGTTAGAATGCTACCTTTTCTCTTCCTGTGGCAGTGCCTGTGTTGCATAATAAACGTCTTTCTCCCTCCTTCGTCATAACTCATCTCTTTATTTTGCATGTTGGGCAAGTGACTGGACCTGACTTATGAAACACAGGAGTTTGGGCTGGGATCTAAAACATCCTGTAACACTCTGACTTCAAATGAGTTTATTATTGCTACTTTAAGTAAATTAAGAAGAAAAAAAAACATTTCTCAGTTGTAACCCCTAATAAAGTAGATATAACACACATAAAAGCTTTTTAGGGCCTTCAATTACTGTTAAGGAGGGAAAGAGAACACTCTAAGAGTCTCAGAAAAAGAGCACTTTAGACTTAGGATGACTTAGAAAACTGTTGAGGACAAGATAGACTCAGGAAAAACATAAGAGCATCACTGCAAGTTGTTCTAAAACAAGGCCTTTGAACTTCAAACTTGACTGGAGATCAACAAGCAAGTGCTAGGCCAGTACTCGTCATTTGAGCCACACCTCCAGTGTCTCCCCTTTCCCCTTCCCCCTTCTCCTTTCCTCCTTCTTCTTCCTCCCCCGTGCCCCTCTTAAAAAATAAGGCAGACCAGCGTTTCCAGGTTCTTGTCACTCTCATTCGGAGATGAGACGAGGAGAAAGCTGTATCACAGGGGGATCACACTCTCAAGGGGTGAATGAAGCCTTTTCGAGAGAAAGTCGCATAGCAGGACTTTGGATAGCCCCTATGAGCAAGGTTTAACGGAAAGGGGGATTATTCATATTTTAATGGGGGTGGGGAGAGGAGGATTATTCCAGAGATGGGCCAATCGGCAACCAATGTGTGCTTCTTCCAAGCAAACCCCTCTCTGGCTTGCTGTCCAGCTCCCTGAGGTCAGTCCCTGCGGGGTGGCATAGCCCCGCACTGGGCCGGACCCGAAGCAGGTGCTCAGTAAACCTTCCGTCCGGATTGCGTCTCTAGCTCAGAACACTCCTTCCTAACCCTCAAACCAGGAGGGGAAGAAGTGACTCGGGGCTGCCCTCGGCTCACGTGGTCCTCCACAGTGCCCCGTTCACCGGACGGCCCGAGGGCAGGCCTGCGGGGGCGTCGGTAAGCAGTAGCTTCTCAAGGCCTTCGCGCATGGTGGGCAGGGTCCAGGGTCACGAGGCCCACGCTCATTGGCCATAAGTGCAAGGCCTGGCCACGCCCCTGTGCGTGGAACGTTCTGATTGGAGGGCCTCAGAGGTGTGGGGGTGGGGCTTCTGGACACCAGTCCCAGCCTGTGTGCGTCGTTTGGACGCGGGTGTTCTGGCACCTGTGAGCAGGCGGTTGAGGCCGCGGAGACCTCAGTCCAGCATGCTGCGCAAGCTCACCGTAGACCAGATAAACGACTGGTTCACTATCGGCAAGACTGTGACCAATGTGGAGCTGCTGGGCTCGCCACCGGCCTTCCCGGCCGAGGCTCCCAGGGACAAGGCCTCCAGCGTCGGCCCAGTGGCCCACATCCCGGCTCCTGCCTCAGCCCGGGCGTCGGGGCCAGTTCTGGCTCCCGCTCAAGTCTCAGCCGTGCTCCCGGCTGAGGCCCCCACCCAGGCCCCAGCTCCCACCCGCCCGGCCGCCGCCTTGAGGAGGTAGGGTGCTGAGGAGGGCTGGGGGGCAGCGAGACACCCCGTGAGTCGGTGCCGTTTCTAGTGACCCTGCTGTTTTAGTGCCCATCAGCTGACCCCAAGGACGGTGGTCACACAAGCCTCATCCGGTGACTTGAGCCAGGCAGCTCTTCCAGTGTCCTGTGCTTCTGTCCAGGAAGCTGAGGCTCTCTCTCCCCTCCCCAGTTCTGTTCCGTTTCTAACTTTTTTTATTCATGGACTTTACTTTTTGAAGCTAGTTTTAGGTTTCCTTGACAATTCATCAGTTCCCATAATCCCCCTTTGCTTCCACAGTTTCCTCTATTGTTAACATATGTATCAGCGAAGTAGGTTTTGTTACAGAAGGAACAAGAACGAATACATTATTATCATCCGGAGTCCATGGTTTACATTAGGGGACACTCTTGGTGTGGCACATTCAGTGGATTTGGGTAAACCTGTAGTGTACATCCACCACCATTTTGCTGTCGCAGGGAGTGATTTCACTGCCTACAAATCATCTGTGCTCTGCCTGTTCTTTCCTTCCTACTCCTTAACCCTTGGCAACCACTGATCTTTTTTTTTTTACTGTATCCACAGTTTCACCTTTTCCAGAATTTCATAGAATTGAAATCGCAAGTATTGACCCTTTTTTTTTCGGGAGCCGTATTGGGGTTGAACTCAGAGTCTCATGCTTGATAGGCATGCGCACTATCACTTGAGCCATTCCACCAGCCCCACTATCTGCTCTTTCAGACTGGCTTCTTTCTTTCACTTAGTAATATACATTGAGGTTTCTCTCTCTCTCTTTCTCTCTTTCTTTGGTGTGTGTGGCTTGATAGCTCATTTTTCTTTAGCACTGACTGATATTCCATTGTCTGGTTATATTACATTTATCTACTCCATGTACATCTTGATTGTTTCCAAGTATTGAAGTAATAAATAAAGCTTTTGCTGGACTTGGGTTTGAGGCCACCCCAGCAGAAAGTTAGACTCTCCCATCTCAATAAACAAGCTGGACATGGTGGGGCACATCTATAATCCCAGCTACTTGAGGGAGAGGAAGGAGGATTGAGGTCTGATTTTGCCCTAGGCAAAAATTCAAGTCCTTATCCAAAAAATAACTAAAGCAAGAAAGGACTGGACTGGGGACATGGTTCAAGTGGTAGAGTGTCTAGCAAGCATGAATGAGGTCTGAGTTCAAACCCCAGTACTGCCAAAAAAAAAAAAAAAAGCTGCTGTAGACATATGCAGATTTTTGTTTGGATGTAAGTTTTCAGTGCGTTTGGGCAAATACTAAGTGTGGATGCTGGGTGTGTTGAGTTTTAACACTCTTCATGATTCTTTGGCTTAAGTAGCTGCTCTTGGTTATTTTGATCGTATGAATTTGGTGAAAATAAAAAGGCAGAAGGACAGCCTGTGTTTTCAGAAGAGAGAACTAAACCTGGTGAGTAGAAGCACCTGTTCTTTAAAGCAACCTGCAAGAAGTACCCCTAACTTGGAGCATCTTTGTCACTCCCCTCCACCCATGTTCAGCCTTTTTTACAATTGGGAGAGAAACTTTAAAAAAAATTTTTTTGAGGGGGCTGTATGTCTTGCTATATTGTTCAGGCTGATCTTGAACTCCTGAGCTCAAGTGATCTGCCACCCCAGCCTCCTAAATGCTGGGATTTACAGGTGTGTACCACCATGCTCACCTGTTTTTTAATTTTTAAGAGTTACTCTTGGTAGGTTGTGACTGACTGGATAGGTAGGCCCAAACTGTGGGTCATTGTTTCAAGCCTTTCTAGAGTCCTTTCAATTGCAGCCTTTTATTCTTTTGTTTCTTGGAGGTATAGTGGGGACAAAGAGATACTTTGTGCAGCTTTAGAGTTGTGGCTTTGTTTATGTTTTTGCACACTTTATTTCCTTGAATTACTGGTAAATGATCCTGTGCTACCACCTCTACTTAATGTTCTGCTACTTCTTTAAACTTCTCTAGATTTTAGGATAAAATGTATTGTATTTGTGATGTTGGAATTAAAGTATCATTGGTCTTGTCAGAAACTAAAAGTACAGATTCAAATGTCATTTTGACTACTGAGGAGCAGTTTTAAAATTTCCATTTCTTCACGGACCAAGACTTTTGTAAATTGATAAAAATGAATATTTGGAGCAATAAAATGAAAAAAGGCAAAATCCCCATTTTTTAAGTTACTAGATTTAACATATATAAAAGTACTTTCTGCCATAAATGTTTTAATATTTGTACTTAATTGGCTACTGACCAGTCTGTCTGAGTAGTACTAGGGGAGATGACCTTGTTCTCAAAGTGTTTTCCTGGGTTCTGAACACATGATACCCAATGCCAGAGTTTTTAGCATGTAGTAGGCACTCAGCTAAAGGTATCTAGATTTAGTCCTTATAGCAACCCTCTGAGGTCTGATGGCATTATCAGTAATGAGTCATCCTTGATGATTTTGTAGAGGAAGAAATAGGTTTGGGAATGGTAAGTGACCAATTTTCTGTGGCAGTAAACCCGATAGGCAGTGTGACTCCACCAAAGGTGTTGGAATCTTGCATAGTGTGACTATGCAATGTTATATGGCATATGTAATTTAGGTGTTGTGTGTGTGTGTGTGTGTGTGTGTGTGTGTGGTGAGGAGGGAGAGAGAGAGTCTGGGGCTTGAACTTAGGACTTCACACTTGCAAAAGCAGGTGCTCTACCACTTGAGCAACACCTCCAGTCCATTTTGCTCTGGTTATTTTGGAGATAGAATCTTGGGAACTCTTTGCCTAGGCTGGCCTCAAACTGTGATCCTCCAGATCTCAGCCTCCTCAGAAGGTAGAATTTCAGGTGTGAGCCACCGATGCATGGCAAGGTTCTGCATTTAGAAGGGAGATAAACAAGATTATCTGAGTGGGCCCAGTCTGATCACAAGTGTTCTGAAAGAGTTGAAATGTTGACCGAGGGGTCCATGACAAAAGTATAAGGAGAAAAGTGTGATCCAATACAGGATCCTACCTGATAACCTAGTAAGAAAACAGGTACCTTACTTATCCTACAGTTGCATGGAACTGGATTTGGCTGACAGTGAATGAGCAAGCTATCAGTAGGGAATACAACCCTGCTAACACCTTGATTTCGGCCTTGTGAGACCCTGAACAGAGGTCCCAGTTGAGTCTGCTTGGACTTGTGAGATAATGAGTTTGTGTTTATTTTATCTTATTTTATATTTTTGTTTATTTTACACATGGTCTCCCTGTGCTGCCTGGCCTTGAGCTTGTGATCCTAGTGCTTCCGCCTCCCAGGTAGCTGGCATTAGAGGCATGTGCCACCTTGTGTGGCTAATTGGTGTTGTTTTAAACTAATGAGTTTGTGGTCATTTGTTACGAATTGTTGCATTAGGATACTAATGAGGTGATGGAGCTGGGATTCAGATTTAGGGGGAGCTGGCCTAAACTCCCCCTGAGCTGAACTGGTGCTCAGACACCAGTTGAATGATTTCTTTCCAGTAAAGGGGAATTCTGACTGAGGTTTGGATATGAGTGAGAAAACATTTGCTGCAGGGAAGTCAGGCTTTCACAAGTCTGGGCTGCCTACAGTACCAGGTATATGGTGCTAGTCTGAGAGAATGGTGCTAAATGAGCAGTGGCACTAGCACTAAAAGAAAAAAAAAACTAGAAAAGATCTGACTATACTATGGATAGTTCAGAGAAGAATTGCTCTAAGAGATGGACGTGTGTGTGTAAGCGAGTAGAGGTTCATAGTGAATTTATTCCTCACTGAGAAAGGTTTTGATTAGGCTGAGCCTGGCTCACTCCTGTAATCCCAGCTACTCAGGAGGCAGAGATTGGAAGAATCTTGGTTTGAGGCCAGCTTGGGCAAAAAGTCAATAAACAACCAGGTGTGATGGTGTTCATCTATAATCCCAGCTACATGCAGTCATAAAAGTAGAACTGTATGGTCCAGGCTGGTCCCAGACAAAAATGCAAGAAATGTAACTAAAGCAGAAAGGCTAGGTGTGTGGCTCAAGTGGTAGAGTGCTTGTCTAGCAAGTGTGAGACCCTATGTTCAAACCCTAGTAATGCAAAACAAAGGTAAAACATCAAAAAACGTTGCTTGTATTGCCATGGAGAGAGGTTAGAGTGTGAGGAGTTGGGAGGGATTGGTGAAGTATGTGTGAGTGGTTGAATGGTTTGCAAATCCTATTTCCAGTGATTGTAAAAAGGGGATCCTCCCTTTCTGCTTTTACATGGTACTGTAGTTTACTCTCTGGTGCTGATTGTGTCATGTACTCTTTTGTCCTTACTTTCCTGTTTCTTCACCTTGGCATATGAAAAGGAAAACCTGGTGTCAGTGTTAATGCTGTTTTGAGCCTTCTCCAGACTTGTCAGTGCTGGCTTCCTTTGGATTGTAGTGCAGTCTATAGCCATCAGCTGGGGCTGGGAGCTGTGCATCCCTTCTCCATCCTTCTGCCTCAAGCTGCTTTGTGCCTTCTGAGGTGGAACTCCTGTCTTCAGTACTCACTTTAAGTCCTGGCCCATGACTTTCTTGCTTAATTCTTACTTTTATGTCTTTTACTAAACCCAGAGAAGGCTTCACCATAGAGAGCTTCCACATTCCAGTTGTATGGTGATTACTGTTACCCAAATCCCTCTTCCTTAATTTCTGTTTTCCCTTTCAAGTAAGCTAACTGCCTATCATCCTGGACATTGTGGTAGGTGGCAGTCCTTCCAGCAGACTTTATCTTACCTTTTCTCAGTCTGTGTGTGTGTTGTGTCATACAAGCATGTGTTTGACTACAAAGCATATTGCTTATCTTCTTTCTGCCTTGTTACCTTTTGGTATTTTGACCTCTCTTGCCCTCCAAGGATTCCTGTTTTCTATTTATCCACTTCTGTAATTTGGATCTTAAATGTCACCCAAAGACCCATGTGTTAAAAGCTTGGTGCCAGGTTAGTGCTGTTGGGAGGCGGTAGAATCTTGGAGACATGGGGCCCCAGGGACCCTGTGTCATTGGAGG